TTTTTTTTTTTTTTTTTTTTTTTTTTTTTTGACTATATTCATAGAACACGTAATGATGAGAAGTTTCATGTACAATAACTATAATGAAAGAAAAGTATTAATTATTAAAACATGTGAACTAATCCATCTATATTCCTTTAGATTTCCAATACCCGAGTCATAGCTGCATTGTTTGCATCTGCTAGAGAAGTACCCTTCAGTGTCGAGTCAAACCATTCATGGCTGGAGACTGACCGAAGACAACGAGAATGTGCATACTTAAAATGCTCTAGTCAAAATGCCACTAGTCCATGCGTTCACTGTGGTTTTGCATTTTGTTCCGAACACAAAAATACTTTACCCTGTCCACATTCCCCCAAATCGTTGTTTGCCACTCATATAACCATTGGAACCAATTCTTCAAAATCTTCAAGGTTATTGCTTTTCTTTTTTCTTTCTTGCCTTCAGATAGTTTTTTTCGAGTAAAAATTAGGAAAAACCTATCAATTCTTTTGCCCAATACAATGGACAGCATTCCTTTCTGCATCAAAATATGATCAAATTAACAGAATAATCTAAAACAATTTTTAAACGAAATTGTTAATACCTTGCGAAAAATGAACGAATCAAAATATTTTTTTAATTTTCATTTTTTGGCTGTTATCTAGCTGACTGGTGACAAATGCCTGGATTAAGATATTAATTATAAAGTGAAAAAAGAATACTTGAAAGTGAATAGAATTAGATACACAGGTATCACCTTTTTTGGTACTATAGCTGTCATAATGTGTATCAGTAAGCGGCAATAGTGTCACGGACTCATAAAAAAATGACACTTACGGTTTCTTAACAGCAAAAGTATAAACTAATTCAAGTAAACAACCTAAATATATCACATGTCATTAACATTAAACTTTTAGAAAAGTTGAAGAGTATGACAGCACAACAAAGCTGAAAGTTATTACATATCGAGAAGGTTTCGCAAACTTGGATTTACGCTTATTGCTGCCGCCAAGCTAATAACAGCTCTACTGCTACACATTCAATTACCAAATAAACTGAATTGGTTGATGGCTTTCAAATAGCTACTACAAAATCAAAACCCAGATCGCCTGTCGCGAACATTGCCCAAAAATGGTGGTGTTAGCTCAATAATTTTAAGTTACAGAACTAAATTTTTACCTGTGATCAATGCTTCAACTCTGACACCGATTAAGGATCTGTAGAAGAAGAATCTCGAGAATGTCAATTATAAACTGTTGGATCTAATGGCTTTTTAAGTAGTGAAATCGAATGATAAAATTGTATTTGAAAAAGTATTAAAAGATATGAATCTTATAAACAGTCAACTTTCAGATTCTTAAAACCGTTTTGTTTTTGCCAAACCTCTTACTCTGACAGTGAAATTCATCTCTCTCTTTTGCTCATTAGATTTGCCTCAGTGCT